GTGCGTGTGCTTTTTATAAGAGTCGAATAATATTTTTGAAGCTTCGTCTTTCATGGAGTGACAATCCAAAGATTGAAGCCTTTTTTACTTCACCAATTTGGTTATAAAGGTTTGTCTCAGATTTCGTCCTTTTTTTGTTTCCCTTTCATTTTTTTTTGTTCTCCTTCGATTGATATTATCCCTATATTTGATTTTGGAATAATCTAATAGTTAGATTGCAATCGAAAAGATAGATTGCTTCTCGAGAAATTTTAGGAAAAGGGTACTTTCCTTATCATAAACAGACGATACTGCGAATAAAAGATAATTTCTGGGTTTTTTGGGTCTTGATCAATGAGATTAATTAATATGAGTTCTTATCTGTAACTAGTTTCTCTATTACGATTCTATAAAGTCTCAAACTTTCAACTCTTATGTCACTGTTACATTAGTCCCTTCTTTTTTTTTGTGACGTCTGCATTTTTTTTTTTTTTTTGCCTTTTATGGAATGCTGTGAAAATTTGCTCTTACCAATTTCTTTAAAAAAAAAAAAAATCAATTTCCTTTTTTTTTGAAAGATTTGTATCACTTTATTTCAAATCTTAGACCCAAATAAGAGAAGAAAGATTACAATTAAAAAAAGTATTTAATTAATTTTTCTTGCTTAAATATACCACACGCCATTTGAATGAATTTAATGCTGAATGTTATAGTATTTTGTAGGTGAAGAAGCCTTTGGATTCAAAGGGTTTTTGCAGGTGAAGCAATTGATTTCAAAGGGGGGATTTTTTTGTTTGGATTTGATTTAAGTTAAAGAGATGGCAACACTAGGAGATATTGGAGTAGCAGCAACAATCAACATTCTCACTGCAATCATCTTCCTTTTAGCATTTGCAATCTTGAGGATTCAACCTTTCAACGATAGAGTTTACTTCCCTAAATGGTATCTTAAAGGTATTAGAAGCAGTCCCTTGCAATCAGGTACTCTTATGAGCAAGTTTGTCAATGTAAACTTTGGTTCCTACCTTCGTTTCTTGAACTGGATGCCCGCGGCTCTAAAGATGCCCGAACCCGAGCTTATTGATCATGCCGGGTTGGATTCTGCCGTGTACTTGAGGATTTACTTGACAGGGTACTAATGTTTTGGACCTCTTTTTTTTGTAATTTGCTTCTGCATTGTTTCATCTTTGAAGTTATTGGATTTTTTACTTGTCTTCTCTGTTTTTTTTTTCAGGCTTAAGATCTTTGTACCGATAGCATTACTTGCGTGGTCGATTCTTGTACCTGTCAATTGGACAAGTGAAGGGCTGCAACTAGCAAAGCTTCGTAATGTAACATCTAGTGATATTGATAAATTATCGATCTCAAATATCGAACGCGGATCAGACAGGTTTGCAATTCATCCAAAAAATATCATATTGATCCTTTCTTCGCTCTATGACTGTAATGTTTGAAGGATCAAACGTTTTTGAAGGTTTTGGACTCACCTCGTGATGGCTTACGCCTTCACATTCTGGACTTGCTATGTTCTAATGAAAGAGTATGAGAAAGTAGCTTCTATGCGTTTGGCATTTCTCCAGAACGAGCAGCGGCGCCCTGATCAATTCACGGTAAAGCTATTATATGATTAGTTTTGCTTCCTGATATTATAATCCTGGACTGACCTGGTTTACTTTCACAGGTTTTGGTTAGGAACGTACCAGCGGATCCAGACGAGTCCATTAGTGAGAGTGTGGAACATTTCTTCCTTGTTAACCATCCAGACCATTATCTTACACATCAGGTTATAGCTCATTGCTCTTAAAGAACCAGTCTTTCTTGTTTCTCGAGTTTACGGTTGAATCCTGAAACTTGATTATTCAGGTTGTGTACAATGCAAACGAATTGGAGACATTAATAGAGACGAAGAAGAGCACGCAGAACTGGCTTGACTATTACCAATTGAAGTATACAAGGAACAAGGATCAAAGGCCAAGGGTCAAGGTAATTATGGTTTTTTAATCACTCTTAGATACAAACTTAAGATCTCTAATCTGTTTTATGCTGTGTTCTTCGGGAAACCAGACCGGTTTTCTCGGTCTATGGGGAAAGAAAGTAGATGCAATTGACCATTATACAGCTGAAATCGAGAAACTAAACGAACAAGTATGTATTATTGTCTTCCCATTTCTTCTTACAGTAGTTGGATATAATCAATCTGATTTATCTTTTTGGGTATTTTGTTTAT